GTGGCATTTCCCAATCAATGGAAGGGGCTGACATGCATGCACATCTTAGAGCAGAAGGAGAAGTAAGGAGAGAGCACCTCAGCCCTGCCATTTGCCCTGTGTTCCCCAGTGCTCCCCATGAAAATGCTGAGGAATGCCAAAAAGAAAAAATATAAGGTTCATCCCCTTTCAGAGAGCAGTTGTGTAAGAACATGGTTTGTGTGGCCTAAGAGCTGATCTGCCACCAAAGGCCCAGCATTTCCAGAGAAGCATACAGCCAAATTATAATTGTGAGTTAATAAGAAAGGCCGAAATCATGCCTAGAATTATCTGTGTCCCACAGAGAGTATGCAAAGGAGGATTAAAAGCCGACAGCAGAAATCCTATCTGAACATCCTTCCGTCTTCTACAACGTCGAAGGCCACCGACTTTCAACATCACAATAAATTAAAGGAACAGTCAGGAGTAAATGAGGTCACTCCTCACATGTGCAGATGTGTCTGAGGTTCAACAATGAACACAAATGACAGGGATTAGGACAGGAACACACGTGAGAATCCTTCACCTCCTTTCCGGCCAACAGAACCAACGGCCGGAGGGCACAGATTCCCTCTGCTCATCATTATGTCCAAACAAATGTTGTGGTTTCACCTTGGGAAAGAAAAAATGACAAAACTTGGGAATTTTCAGCTTGGGAGTGCTGCAAACAGCCCAGCTCAGGGATGTGTCTTGCTTTTCAGGAGCATGAAGGGGTCCTATGCAGGGAAAGCCCCTCTGCTATGGAGCCAGGCTGGGAGAGCTGGGGGTGCTCACCTGGAGAGGAGAAGCTCCAGGGAGAGCTCAGAGCCCTTGCAGGGCCTGAAGGGGCTCCAGGAGAGCTGGAGAGGGACTGGGGACAGGGCATGGAGGGACAGGACACAGGGAATGGCTTCCCAGAGGGCAGGGTCAGATGGGATATTGGGAAGGAATTGTTCCCTGGTACAGGGTGCCCAGAGAAGCTGTGGCTGCCCCTGGATCCCTGGAAGTGTCCATGGCCAGGTTGGACACTGGGGCTTGGAGCAGCCTGGGACAGTGGGAGGTGTCCCTGCCCAAGGCTGGGGATTGGAATGAGATGTCCTTCCAGGTCCCTTGCAGAACCCATCCCAGGATTCTGTGAGCATCCCTCCCGCAGCAGGACCTGAAAAACGCCGTGCTCTGGAGCGACGTGACACAATCCCCCTGGAGATTCCCCAACCAGCTCAGCATCCTTGGGCTCTTGGATTTTATTACCATTTATTATTTAGGAATAAGTGCACCGAACACAGAGCCAGCCTAGCAGAGGTTCATGAATCACAGCATCTTATCAGCATATTAATCAGCTCCTGGTAGGGAGAGGGGAGACGCTGTGAGCTATCACAAGCACTTTATAGTTTCACGCTTGAAGTCAAACAAGCTCCAGGAGAGACTGATTCTTCATCCCTGATTCCACACCAGTGGGCTAATCTATTTACTGCAGCACTGGTGCCTTCCTGCAGTGGGTGCAAGGAAATGGGAAGGGTAATGTGCCAAAGGAAGACCAGGTGCTTCAGCAGCCCCCATTTGGGGCAGGTAAAGTGAATTCTACCAAGAACAAAAAAGCAAATTGGAGGCCTTAAATAAATTAGCTTCAATTAAAACAACAGCTTACATGAAAATCTAACTTAATTACAGTCTGGTTTAATTAAATAGTAAACAAGGCTGAAACACTGCTGCTGATGTTCCAAAATCCGTGGAATTAGCGGAGTGGAAGCCGTCACCAGGCGGGCACGAGGAGCCAGGACTTGGAGCACAAAGCTGGCACTGGGCAGATGTGGCTCTGTCTGCAGCCAGAATATTCTGCCTGTGTCACCTTCCCTCAGCTCCACAGCTGCTCACCCAGCAGCAGGAAACACTGCCTGCAGAAGTTATTCTCCTCCTCTTTCAGTTTCCAACAAAAAATGGGAAGGAGGGGACGATTCAACAGATCTGGGAGTTCTGAGGACCCCAAAAATGAGACACAGGAGAAGCCACAAGTGCTTAATAAATCCCTTCATTCAAACACACGGATTGTTTTCATAAAGATTTCTCCTATGAGTTGGAACAATTCTGATTTTATCTCACTGAGTAACTGTATTTTAAAACTTCCTTTTTTAAATGTAATTATTATTTCCCATAAAAATCCAGCCAATCCAGCCCACACTTGAAAAATTATTTAGGAAGTAACTGTCCTTCACACTTCCATTAAGGAAGATCAAAATGGAAAAATCAAGAATCTGAATAAACGGATGCTTCATCAAGTACTTGAGTATGTGCCAAGGATTTCCCATTCTCCCTAACTCAAGGATTTCCTATTTTCCCTAACAGCCAATCTGGCAGAAAAAATTGGATTATTTATCTTGTAATGGACCTCTCTCCCTGCTCTGCCAGGAAACAACACAGAAGTCAGAATGAGAAGAAAATCATTCAAACTCAGATTAAAACTCATTATTTCAGCCTAAAGCTATCATATAAATAAAAACAATAAACAAAATGTTAAGTAGTGTAAAGCATTCACATTTAGCATTAAAAACCCCCACAAAAGCATAGAATTCATGCTGCCAGTATCCTGCTCACTATCCCTGCTTTCTTCCTGCCTCTACCCCACCTGAGTTTTGCTCCACAACTCTTTTCATAGCTGCTCAGACCACCATCAAGAGTAGCCTGTATTTTCTCTGCAGAGGATAAAATTTAAATTTTCTCCTCCTCATTAGCTATAGAACTTTGAGTCTTTCATTACATATTCAAACAAATTCAGATTTAAAAGGGTTTGTAATACTATGTGCCCAGGAAAAAAAACCAAAAAAACTCAGCTCTTCTGTAAAGTGCTTTTTGACTTCTATTTTGGGACCTCACTGTAAGAGTTCAGCCCACTGACTCCTTACCTTCCACCTGGGCAATGGAACCATCCAGCAGGAATATTCCTGCTGTGCTGTCCTACATTTGTTTCTTTGTTTTACCACTGACATAACCAAGGACCTTGTTTTAATTTTTCCAGTTTGATCTGCCTCAAGCTTTTTCCTCCAAGATTATCCTGCACATCCACCACTGATTTCAGTGCATTTACCAAAAATTCTGGAAGACAAATGCCTGAAAGATGGTTTGGGATGAAACCATGGGGGCCACATCCTCCTGATCCCTGCATGGATCAGAGCTGGCACAAGTTGGCCAAGTCAAATTTTACGGAGTTAAGGGCACAGTAGGAACTTCACAGTGAACAACCAGCAGGTTACTTTAGAAGACAACATCCCATTAATGTTGGCACTTGACTCATTCCAAATGGAGTCCTGCAGAATTCCTGTGTTCAAGCCCAGGCTGGATGGGGCTTGGAGCAACCTGGTCTTTGGAAGGTGTCCCTGCCCATTGCAGAGGATGGACTCAGATGAGCTTTAAGGTCCCTTCCCACCTAAACCATTCTGGAATTTCATTAATCCCTTCATCTAAAGCAGAATTCTCCCTCTAAAATTCTTCTAGAAAGGTCAAGGTCCAAATTCTGGCCAATCTGCACCTCAATATTTAATTTTAATTGTCTTATCAAGTGCCAGAAAGCAGCTGCTAAGACACCCAGGATTGTATGAAAGCAGATACAGAAATGTACATTGAATGGATGTTAAGGTTGAGCTTTCAGCACATGGCAAAAAAAAAAAAAAAGAAAAAAAAAATCAAAGTAAAGTGGGAGAGAAGTAGCCTCTTGTGCTGGAAAGCCACAAAATTCCTGTTATTTCCAGAGCAGGAAAATAACTGTGCACTTATGAGCTCGTTCTATCACCCAAGCGCTGCTGGAGTCCACAGTCCTCTCACAATGGGGAGATTTTTGAAGAGACTTTTTCACAGAGATTGTTTTTTTTTCCAAGCCTCTCCTGCTTTGACTGTGAGACCAAAGTTCCCCCAAGCTACAGTATCTCCAACAAAGCAGCTGCATAAATTGGAATGGGAAAAAGAAAGGATGAATAAAAATGGGGCAAAACGCCTTTGAGGAACTCTCTGCTCTGCAGAGTCTCAGACAGGGCTCCTCACAGCCCCACTGATCCACCAGCTGGAAGGGCTGCCAAACTCACCCAGAATATTCCATGCACAAAGCAGCTCAGAGTATTTGATGTTCATTCCCATCTGCTGGTGACCACTCTCCTCCACAAAAGCACGTTCCCAAATAATTCCACACATTAGGTGAATCAATGCAGATAGCAGGAAGCCCTAACACAACATGACACCCAAGAGCTGATTACTTTCCCCAAAATGGTATAAAAAGGAGTTTTATAGGGCAGATTTTGTAAAGGGGCTACAAGATCAAAGCAAGTCAAGGTGAACATAATGCACAGGGAAAACCAGATACACCTGAACTGGGATTTTCTTTTTCCAAAGCCCCGTTTCTGTCCCATATGAATTCTTTCCATATCAGTACAATTTAGTTCCCCACTAGTTACATAAACATCTTTATCAAGTATTAAGGATGACATTTTTAGACAACTCAGTTCTAAAGAAGGTTTCAAACAGACAACAGACTTACTCTTCCACATAAGATGAACTCAACCAAAGCACAACTTGAAATATTGAAAAAAAAAAAATCAGTCAATACTGTAGCTTGAGTCACCACCTATCACAATACCTGGATGTTCTCCAAACAAGGGGCTCTTGGCTGTGGGATCTTCATTTCCACAGCTGGAATATTCCAGCACATGCACCCCAGGGGTTCAGGGCAGCTCCTGAGGGGAGCCCTCCCGCTGACTGTCCCAGCACCTGTTGGCATGTATGTTAATCTAAAGAAAAAAGCCCTTTGGATCCTTTTCCTTAGGATTTCCAGGGCATCCTCTTTGCACGAATTCAGCTCCAACTCTTCTCACCACCCTCGCTGCACTGGCTTTGCTGAAGGACTTTTCCTGCGAGTCACGTTCCCCTCCGGTTCCCTGATGGGAAATCTTTCTACCTCATTAAGGGATCAACCACCACCACGCACAGACATCCAGGAAAAGCCACAACCCCTGTCCTACCTGTATAGGCCATGTTCTTCGGGTTTCCATAGGGAGCCCCAGGTTGGACGGGGCTGTAAACAGGATTCATGGTGGAAGACCGGGAACTCTGAGGACAAAAGAAAAGCAGAGTTGAGACGGTTGCCTTATGTTGGCTCCCGAGTTGCTGTCTGTGTGCAGAGTCCTGATAGCATCACCCTGTTAGAATTCCAGACACAGACAGCTGTGAAGGAAGGGATTTACAACCAGACGTTACAACCAGATAGCATATTTAATAATTCAAGTTTTGGATCTCTCCGTTAATTCCCACAACTTCTCCAGCGCTGCATATTCTGCCTACAAATGCACCCAGAGCAGATTCATCTTCCACATCCCTGCTCCAGGGGAGTTCAGGACTCATGACCCCAGTTCCAGCTTGCCATGAACACAGAGGAGGGGCCATAAAGTCAGGCAAGGAATTCTCCTCCTCGGAAGAAGGAGCAGTTCTTGGGTGATAAAACCAAAGACCTGACCTTTCTGCAAGCAGCAGATGAAAGACCATTCGCCGCTGGCGAGATGGAGAAGGGCAAGCCTTGGTGAGCTTCCAGCGTGAGCTGACTGTGAAAAGCTGGAGACCAGGGCTTGCATCCCGTGTGGGGCTGGGCAGGGCCACCCCCTGGTCCCACCCGTGTCCCACAGGGAGACTCCGTCGCGGAGCTCCTGTGAGCGAGGAGACCTCGACAGTCCTTGTGCTCCCCTCGCCGATAAAAACTCCAAAGCTGGTCAGCTTCTTGTGGGTTTTATTAAGAGGAAAGCAAGTAACTTGGGAATTTGTGTCTCCTAACTGTCAGTTAAGCAACTGGCTCAGTTAATTATCTTAATGAAGCACATTCTCAGTTCTGATTAATGGGAAAATCAGTCATTAAGCTTTATTAGGCGAGGCATTTGTCTCCACAGCTATCTAGTGGTAATTTCACACCAGAACCAAACCCATCTTCCTTCAAAATCTGGGGGTTTTGTTAAAATGTGTTATTTTACAGTTCATAAATAACACCATTCTCTCCCAACAAGTCCCTCATGATGGGGGACACAATTTGTTACATCATTAACTCCTTTCACTTTACCTCGGGAGAGTAAACAAGTCAAACGCTACATGTTAGCACCGATTGACTTGACAACAATTAGTGCTTAATTAATTAGCTGTCCCTCCACCCCCAAGTCAGCGCTGAAGGAGCCATTCTCAAAGCAAAGGAAATCAGGGTTATAAGCAAGTGGGAAGAGACAGGGAGACTCAGAATTCCACTAACACACAGCTTTAAGAGCATTAAGAAGATCTTTAAGAAAATCAGTGCAGGACCAGGCTGCCCAGAGAAGCTCTGGCTGCCCATCCCTGAAACTGCCCAAAGCCAGGCTGGAGGGGGCTTGGAGCATCTGATCCAGTGGAAGCTGTCCCTGTCCATGGGACTCGATGAGCTTTAAGGTCCCTTCCAACCCAAATCATTCTGTGATTTAGGAAATAAAATTTAGGAGGGTAACTCTTCACCTTTCCATTGTTCCTCCCCAAAAACCACCCAGTGACAGCTGGACCTGCTCCCAGGCATGGCTGGAATCACGGCTGCTTTTCTAAAGGGCCTTTTCAACGCCAGCAGCATTTCATTTGTACTCTTGTGTGTGTGAAGAGTACAAAAAAATCATAGTTCAGGGGGAAAAATGACAGAGTATGTGTGGCTTGCACTAGGTGTTGTACCAAATGGTAAAAGCAAAACACTCTTATTGAGAAGGATGAAAGAAAATGCTTTTTATCCCAGATAAAAAGGTTGTAATCGTGGTGGGGGCTCGAGAGCTTGTGAGGAAGAGGTTTGTGCTTCCTCCCTGCTTTGTATGCAGGGTGGGATTTCCAGACAGCAGGAAAGAGCTCCTGCAAACAGCATTTGGGAGGGATGATTTTCTCTCCCATTCTGCAAGACAATGCCATCCGAAAATACATTTGAAATTCATTGCAGGCACCACGTTGTGGCATTGAAACAGCTACACTGAAATAGGAATAAAACAGGATTAGCAAAATTAAACCTTCTGCACCGCCAGAACCTGCAGAGTTCGCTTGTGGCCATGAATGCCCAACAAAAAGACTACTAAAAATTAATTATAAACAGAGAAACACCAGTGCTGCTCTATTGCAGGAGCTTCCAGTGCTTCCTAATCCCTGAGACAGCCACGCTCAGTTGCTCTGAGAGACTCCAGCAAGGAGTAACTCCAGCAGGAATGCCATGGGAATAAGCTGCTAGCAAACAGTCCCGGGATACTTTGTGCCTGTAACCTGGTTACCTTTTCATCTGTTTTATCCTCCCTGTGAAAGTGCAGGACAGGCTCCCATCACACCAGGGAGCTGCTCCATGTGAAGGGCAAACAGAGCCAGAAGGGAGGGTGGGAATGGGTCACTGTGGCCTGGGCAGAGCTGGGAATGGTTGGACTCCATGAACTTGGAGAGCTTTTCCAGCCTTGGAGGACCTTCCCAACCTTGGGGAGCTTTCCCAGCCTTGGAGGACCTTCCCAACCTTGGGGAGCTTTCCCAGCCTTGGAGGACTTTCCCAATCTTGGAGGACTTTCCCAACCTTGGGGGGCTTTCCCAGCCTTGGAGGGCTTTCCCAGCCTTGGGGGGCTTTTCCAGTCTTGGAGAGCTTTCCCAACCTTGGGGGGCTTTCCCAGCCTTGGAGGGCTGTCCCAGCCTTAATGATTCTGTGAGTCTATGAGCATGTCCCTCACCCCTGGGAATAAGGAACCAGGAACATCTCATCCCACTGTTTCCTCCCATGACTGGTTTACTTGGTGCCTTTGGAAACACTGCGCCCAGATCCCCCCATCTCCACAGGGGGGTTTGCAACTCCCATCATTGTGGTTGGAAAAGATCTCCAAGATCATCAAGTCCAACCTCTGACACAACATAAAAGCTAAAAGAATCAAGCAGGCATGGAAAATCCCAGACGTTAATGAAGTTGCTCTCATTATCTTTTCAGAATAAAGGAATGAAATCTTTACAGAGAAATAAATATATTTTGCAGGGTTTTTAAAACAGTGACATGGACAGGTGAGTCTTTCAGGCTCTCCAAAAATTAAATAGTAGCTCTGAATTGAAAAGAGAAAAGTAAACAATGGAAAAGGGAGCTGTTCTGAATAACAGACATTTTTCCATTTTCTTTCAAGTCATTCCTTGTGTCAAGGTGATTTTCCCTTTAAACTCCCATTGCCTTGTTTTTTGTGGCACTGGGATGCAATGCCTTTTGAGAGCCCCATTCCTTACACTCTGGAGAGAGAGTACTATTTTCTCTATGTGCCAAAAGTAATTTATTTCACATCAGGTGGCACAGAACCAACATGAGAGAGTATGAACAAAGAAAAGAGATCTTTTCTTCCTTGACCTGCACATCACCTCTTTAAATGAATTTTATACAAATTGCATGCTAATAATATTCAGCCAAAGTCTCCTTGAACATGAAAAGGCCTCCTGACCTTACACTCCATGCAAATTCTGCTAATTTTCTGACAATTTTTCCCATAAGTCATTTGAAGCTTGACCCTCACTTGGGATCCACCAAACAATAATTAAATTACCTTCCAATTCATCTGCTAAAGGTTAATTTAGGCAAGTGACAAGGGTATATCCCACCTTTCCCCAAAAAAGTCTGGGACAGTGGGCACGAGCTCGGAGATTCTTCTTTAATTTATTCTTTTTTTAGCGACACCTTAAGAGTTGATTGACCATCTGTCACGTGAAACAAAGAACTGAACCTGTTATAGAAATGTAACAGGGTTGTATATAATATATATGTATATATAATGTATTTTATATATATATATATAATGTGAACACATCAGGTTGACACATGGAAACCCAGTCTGGTTTGGGTGGAAAAGACCTTAAAGATCATCCAGCTCCAAACCCTGCCATGGGCAGGGACACTTCCCACTATCACAGGCTGCCTTCTCTTTTCCAGGTGAACTCCCCCAGCTCCCAAAAATTTATAGTCCTACAGCATCTTCTGTAAGATCCACCTCCAAACCAGGACAGGAGCATTCAGATCTTCACTGAGGAGACACAGGAGAGTGTCCTGGGAGACAAAACTCCAGGGAACCACATTCTCATCACCTGCTGTTTCCTCTGAGATGAAGAACCAAATAATCAGGCTTTTCCAATCAAGAACAGCCTGACATCTCTAGCAGCAACATGCCCTTTTGTCTTCATTGTATGAAAAATGAAATGGATAATTTATAAGCACAAAGCAGCTCTTGACTTTGGAATTTGCTGACCTCAGACTGCCCAAAAAATAAATGCTGAGCCAGGAAAAATCTTAGCCTTTCGTTTGCTGAAGTTTATGATCTGCTTAAAAGCCAGAGGATCAAAAAATGATAATTCACTTATTAATTCAATTTAATATTACAGACTGCATATTGAAATATTGTACAGGAAATCCTGTACAATATTTCAATATGCAGTCTGTAATATTAAATTAAAAGGACTAAGAAGATGGGATCACTTATTGCACAGGTGAACCTGCATCTGGGTGGCAAATATTGTGTTTGCCTATTTGAATTATGCAGAGCTTACACCAATACCCCTCTGAGCCTAAATAAATGAGAAATCATTGAATCATGCACTGGTTTGAATTGGGAGGAACCTTAAAGCTCATCCAGTTCCAAGCTCCTGCCATGGGCAGGGACATCTTCCATCAGACCAGATTATTCCAAGCCCCATTCAACCTAGCCTTGAACCAGTTCCCCCACAAGAAATTTCAGAATGAGAAAAACCAAAAGATTCTGGCACAGCTGGGGTTATATTAACTTGTTTCCAGAGAAGAAAATGTCTTAATGCAGATGAATTCTGTGCTGCAAATTCCCAGCCTTTTATCTGCAAGTCTGATGGGTTTCACCAGCAGGTAACCAATAAATACATGTATTTTTTAAAAGATCTAACATATCTGCCCCAGTGAGTCCCAAACCATTCTCAGCAGTTCTCAAACTACTTCCTTGATATATTCCTATTAATTTCTCTAACTTGAGGCCTTGCTGCCTTTCCCTTTGGAGATGAACCCTGCTGTACTCTTGTACTCGGTGCTCTCCGACTGAGCCACAGCC